GTACAAAAACAGGTGCACAGATCAATGGAACAGAATTGAAAGCCCAGAAATAAAACCACACATCTATGGACAGCTTATCTTTGACTAAGCAGCTGAGGGCATACAATGGAGAAAAGAAAGTCTTTTCAACAAATGGTGCTGGGAAAACTGGAAAGCCACATGTAAAAGAATGAAAATTGACCATTCTTTTTCACCATTCACCAAAATAAACTCAAAATGGATGAAAGACCTAAAGGTGAGACCTGAAACCATAAGGCTTCTGGAAGAAAACGTAGGCAGTACACTCTTTGACATCAGTATTAAAAGGATCTTTTCGGACACCATGCCTTCTCAGAGAAGGGAAACAATAGAAAGAATAAACAAATGGGACTTCATCAGACTAAAGAGCTTCTTCAAGGCAAATGAAAACAGGATTGAAACAAAATAACAACCCACTAACTGGGAAAAAATATTTGCAAGTCATATATCTGACAAAGGCTTAATATCCATAATATATAAAGAACTCTCGCAACTCAACAACAAAACATCAAACAACCCAATCAAAAAATGGGCTGGAGACATGAACAGACATTTCTCCAAAGAAGATATACTGATGGCCAATAGGCACATGAAAAGATGCTGATCATCAGGGAAATGCAAATCAAAACTACACTAAGATATCACCTTACACCCGTTAGAATGACAAAAATATCTAAAACTAATAGCAACAAATGTTGGAGAGGTTGCGGAGAAAAAGGAACCCTCATACACTGCTGATGGGAATGCAAACTGGTGCAGCCGCTATGGAAAACAGTATGGAGATTCCTCAAAAAATTAAAAATAGAACTACCATACGATCCAGCCATCCCACTACTGGGTATTTATCCAAAGAGCTTGAAGTCAGCAATCCCAAAAGTCCTATGCACCCCAATGTTTATTGCAGCACTGTTTACAATAGCCAAGACGTGGAAGCAACTTAAGTGTCCAGCAACAGACGAATGGATAAAGAAGATGTGGTACATATATACAATGGAATACTAGTCAGCTGCAAAACAGAACAAAATCATTCCATTTGCAATAACATGGATGGACCTTGAGAGAATTATGTTAAGTGAAATAAGCCAGCAAGAGACGGATAATCTGTGTATGACTCCACTCATATGAGGAATTTAAAATTATGCACTAAGAACAGTTTAGTGGACACCAGGGGAAAGGTGGGGTGGGGGGTGGGCACAAAGGGTGAAGTGGTGCACCTACATGACTGACAAACATTAATGTACGACTGAAATTTCACAAGATTGTAACCTATCAATAACTCAATAAAAAAAAAAAAAAAAAAGACATGGCTGACGAAATACATTTAACAACATGACACAGAAGAACACGTGCTGAGAGGCCCAACGGTGTAGCAGGTAAGCTGCAAGCACGGTGGAGGTAGGAGCTGCACGCAGAGGCTGGCACAGACCCGGAGGCCTCGAGGACTCGGCAAAATTTCACAGATAAGACAGACAAGGAAGGCAAAGGCAACCCTATGAGCCACCAGACACAGGCTCCATCCCTGAGGCCAACAGGGGGACACCGGCTCCGTCTCTGAGGCCAACAGGGAGCGGGCTGGGGGCAGAGAGTCGAGTGTGGCTGACGTAAACTGGGGAGGGAGAGGAGTGGTGGGAGAGAACCAGAGGCAGGCCATACCCGACAAATAACTGCGGGGCTGTATGTATTTTTTGTTAAAGCAAAGTGGGTTGTGATAAGATCCTGGAAGATCTTGAGTGACAGCTCCAACTTTATTCTGAAGGCAGTGGTGATCTCATGACCTTGAAGAGGGAAGTGACCCAAAGTGAGCTGTCCTGCCACCTGGACAAAGGGTTCCTGGCTCTGGACACAGCGGTGCTGGGAAGCCCTGGCAGGATGGACAGCCCTGTTTCAGTATTCTTTGTCTATCATCCAAGCTTCTCCGATGAGCATTCAACAACTAATCTGATACACTGATTACACTTTAGACCAGTGTTTTCTCAGGGAGAAACCTCCACTGTTTAAGAACTTACCACTCCTTCAAAAGATTCCAGGAAACACTTAAAACTCATCTCTTAAAGTGAGCCATTCTCTAGAACAACATCCACAGACGGCCAGTTCCATACAATAATGTTATTTTAGTACTAATAATACAAAAACATCATCTCACTAATCCTGCCCTATGCTGCAGGGACTATTATAACCCCCATTTTAAAGATTTTTCCTTTTTCTCCCAAAGCCTCCCAGTACATAGTTGTGTATTTTTAGTTGTGGGTCCTTCTAGTTGTGGCATGTGGGACGCTGCCTCAGCATGGCCTGATGAGCGGTGCCATGTCCGCGCCCAGGATCCTAAGAGGCAAAACCCTGGGCCGCCACAGCAGAGTGCGAGAACTTAACCACTCGGCCACGGGGCCAGCCCCCAATATAACCCCCATTTTACAGACAACCTTGCTAAGAGGCTTGCAAAGGATAAGGAACTTTCCAAAGATCATGAAGAGCTGGCTTAGAGGAGGAGCCAGGACTTGCCCAGCCCGGCAGACTTCAGGGCACAGGCTCCCGGCCAAGCCGCCTCAGGCGTTCCCACTCCTTCCAGGGGCAGATTTGGACAATAAGACCCTGTCTCTGTGGCTGGTGTGGAGGTGTGAGAACTCACAATCTACTGGGGGCTCAAGAATCTCTAAGTGCTGACTCCAGGGTCGATCAGCAACATAAAGACTTCCCAAAGTTGTATTTTTGGCAGAAATGGAGGAGTCGCTATCCTTTATTCAACAGCTTTTGCTTAAGATCACTACCAAACTTCTCAGGGACCTCATACCCCTAAGTAAAGTATATACTTTAAATCCCCATTGATTCTATCTTTCCAAATCTTCAAATATTCATACGTTAATTTCTACAGAACCACCTTTCGGGCATGTTATCCTTACAGAGAACAGCTAAATGACAAAAATATCACTTAAATTTAAGGTTAAGGCATTAACTAATAACAGGGGGGCATGATACAGAGGAATACCACATAAAAATCACAGTAGCAAAAATTAGAAAGAAACAAATACATCTAATTTATATTACTTTTCCAATATCAAAAATCAAATAAAATATATAAATATGGAAAGCATTAGCAGGAGGAAGTATTTAGTGTTCCTTTTTGCCACTTCTTAACAGGCCAAGCAACCAAGTCAAATCTTTCTGTGAAAAATTTTAAAAGAGATATTACAGGGGCCGGCCCAGTGGCATAGCAGTTAAGTTCACACGTTGCGTTTTGGCGGCACAGGGTTCGCAGGTTTGGATACCCGGGTGCGGATGTGGCACTGCTTGTCAAGCCATGCTATGGCAGGCGTCCCACATATAAAGTGGAGGAGGATGCACATGGATGTTAGCTCAGGGCCAGTCTTCCTCAGCAAAAAAAAAAAAAAAAAAAAAAAAAGAGGAAGATCAGCAGCAGATGTTAGCTCAGGGCTAATGTTCCTCCAAAAAGAAAAAAAAGAGATATTTTGTTATGCAACTATAGGGAGCAGGGTCTGAAGTTTTGCACTCATAAAACACCCTTTGTGAAACAATTATTTTATGTTAAGCTATACGTGTTCTAAGCACTTCCTGTTCACCATGATCAAAATATTACAGATTTTGAATAACAGTTTGTCCTTTCATCGAGAAGAAGATTGAAGCTGAATTTGGGATACAGGTATAAAAAATAGTAGCCGACAAAGCATTACTACCTAAAGGTCATGAGACAATTACGCTTTGTAAGTAAGATTGGTTTTGGGAACAGAGACATAAAGGAGAAGCCAAAGAGGAGAAGAAGGGTGAGAACCAGGTGGGCAGCTCTTCTCACATTGACCAACTTTGGGGCGCGTCCTCCTGCCAGTGTAGAAAGGAGCGCGCAGTTACTGCCTTCTGCTTCTATGCCCAAGGCCCAAAGAAGGAATTAAACAAACGAGGTCTAGTTTTAGTGAGGCATTTGATGCCTGAATAATGCAGAGTAACAAAAAGTCTCTAAAGCTTCATACCAATCAAATAATATATTATCATCCTGATATACGCCAACTTGCTTAAATAATGAGGAAAAAGTAATAAAATTTTTATTTTCTTCCATTATCTGAACCAATCTTAACTCTCTTAGTTAAACTGCATATTTCAAAAGCGAACTATAACAGAAAAATGCTAACCATTTGTTAAAGGGTCGGATTCTGAGATTTTTTAAAATTCCTATTGTGCACATAAAGTTGCTTGGGACATAAACATTTTAAAATGTGTGCACTTTAAACACGGCTCCGTAGTTCTTAGGTTTACATACAAACGTAAAAATGACAGAAATAAGGTATATTTAGGGGGAAAAAAGTATCTATTACTCTGCCACAACATAACAAACACAGGAGAATACAGAAGCCAGACGAGTACGGCCATCAACTTAAGTTCCCTCAATCTTTTTTTCCATCCTTCCAGATGTGCCAATAACATGCTGACAATATGTTCAAACAAAAATGAGAAAACATAAGAAAATCTCTTAGCACCATGCCAACTATTACCTTATTCCTTCATTGGTTCAACAAATACTTGCTGAGCACCCACCCTGGGCCAGAAACGGGTACAACAAGGGTTCTAGCAAAGTCCCAGCCCCAAAATGCTCATGGTCCAGTAAGTGAACCTGGAAGCCACCCACGGGCAGGGGCAGAGGGGCCAGACTGTAGGCACCATGGGAAGACATCTAAAAGCTCTGGTTTTTTTAAATTGAGATATGATTGACAACAAAAGTTATAATCAAGGAAATGACATAAGCCATAGAGGAGGAGGCTTGTGGGGGAGGGTAAAGCGTGATTTTGAAATCCAGGTGAAAAAACACGTCAGCAGGTGCTGACCATGCCAGCAAAGGGCCTGAATTTGAGGGGATACAGGTTTGTAATGTGGGCAACTGAGTGAAGAGAGTAGTTGCATAATTAACATACAAACTGCTCAATAAATATTAGTTTCCCTCTTCCTTCTCATATATGAATATTTCTCAAAAAACTTACCTCTCTGCACGAATCACACCACTGTAGTAAGGAGGATCCCAAGGCATTAATTCCTACAATGGAATAATTCACTGTTATGAAAGTTACTGACTATTTCATAATTTTTATCAATTATGTAGCCTGTTTATAAAATGTAAACCTGTCTTATATCAGAAAACTTTTATGAAAACCCTAAAAATTCATGACTTGGCAGGAAATACCTGCCTCTTTATTTTGACTGCCCTGGAATCAATGAGTACAGAGGTATAAATAAGGCATAATCCCAGAATTTGGGGAAAAGGTAAACAAATGTCAGTCTAAAATGTAAACTAATAAAAGTCAACATTAATGGATTAAATCAGCCATGTTGAAATTTTTCCCAAAATGTAACCGATGTATTAATCCACGAAACATACTGCAGGTAAGATTAGGGCACTAAAGGTAAGATTAGAGTTCTTTCCAGATGTAAGCAAGAAGCTTAGGGTGGATCGCCAAAATGAAAGCAGCAATTTAAAACGTAACTAAGGCAGAATTAACTCTAATCTTGGCAAAGAAAATATGCTTTACAGAAGTATTGTAATAATAGTTGTTTTTGACAACTGGCACGGAATCCTGAAAGAAAGGAAGGCTTGACTACCTAAACGGATCATCCTCCCCACAAACGGTCCAGGTGACAAGAGTGGTTAAGAGACCAGGCTGTGAAGTGAGACTGCTTCGGTTCAAGTTCTCAAGCCACACGGGGTGTATGACTTGGAAAAGTTATTTCTGCTCGCCAATGCTTTTCCGTCTTCCTTCTACGCGCTTTGATCTCGCCCCGCTGCTCCTGAGCCCACGTCCTGTGACCTCCCCTCACTCACTCCACTCTGGCCACACTGGTCTCCTGGCTGTTCCTTGATCACACCAGGTGGGCTCCTGCCTCAGGCCTTGCATCTGCTGTTCTCTCTGCTTAGAATGCTCTTCCCTTCGGTATCTGCATGGCGTACGCCCTCACTTCTTCCAAGTCTCTGCTCAAGTGTCACCTTACCAGAGAAGTCTTTACTGATCACCCCATATAAAATAGCAACCCTCATCCCCTTTGCTCTGCATTATTTTCCCCTATAGCTCTTATCACCATATGACACAGCATACATTTATTCTTTTCATGTGTTTACTATGTGTTTCCTTCCCCTAGAAAGTAAGTTTCATGAGGGCAGGGATTTTGTTTGCATTTTTCCTATTATATCCTGGCACCCTGAACACTGCCTGGAACACAGTAGTCCCTCAATAGTTATTTGTTGAATGAGTCAACAGCATGTCCCAAACAGTATTGCTTAAAGCACTCAAACCATTCAACAGAAGACCCGACACTGAGTGAAAGCTCCATGAAGGTTGGCTTCTGTCCTTATTACCATTATCCTTTAAAATTTCAGGTTATACATTATCTCCTCGAACAACAAGGTGTTCTTTCTCATATCCCATACTTTTATCACAGAACGTAACTAACGTAAGGTACTTGTAGGTTTACTTTCTTTCTCCCCATGAGCTCCTGAAGAGCAGGGACAGCACCCCTGGAGCTCCAGCCCCTCGCTGTTCGTTTCTAGCACACGTTTCCTCCACCAGATGATCCTTTACTACCTGCCACATGCCAGACAGAGCACAGACTCTAATGAGACAAAAACAAACAGGATGTGATCCCTGTACCGAGGAGCTGGTCTCAGCAGTAGGAAGACAAGTGCCTCACCATCGGAGAACAGTTTGTCACGTCTATGATGTTGCACCATGTGAAACAGAGCCCATGAAAAGGGTATTTCAGTCACAGAGGAAGGCCAGGAAATGTCTGGAGGAGACAAAGCCTGAGTTGAGTTTTGAAGAATGGGAGCTCTCGGTCCAGATAAGAAAGAGGCAAAGACACTCGGGTGCGTGGTATTTATGAGCGACTGGAAGCTACCTGCCATAGTTGCTGGCACAGAAATATTAGTTAGAATTAAAAACTAAAAGAAAGGAAAGCAAAGCAAAAAGAAAGTGAAAAAAGCACACACGCATCATACAGGTTATTAGTAGGGAGCAAAGGACACTAACTTGGCTTATAGGGGCAGAAGATAAGGCTAGAGAAGCAGGCAGGGGCAAAATTATGAATGGCTTGGTGGGAAAAGCTAAGAAACAGGAAGGTAAATCTGACAATCACAGCAGGCCTTTGAAAAATTTTAAACAACAGAGTGACAAGATCAGATGTGCTTTTCGGAAAAATCCCTCTGGTGGCAATTCATTGGTTCATTTGTTCATACTTCAAATAAGTGCTGAGTACCTACTCTATGTCCAACACTGAGCTAGGCACACTGCTAAGCAGCCTGAAACCCAGGATGCCTTTGAAAGAAGCCAAAAGAAAAGGCTTGAAAACCAGTTTAGCAACTACAACTCGAATCTGGGCGAGAAGAAATAATGACCTCAACCAGGGCTGTGGCAACAGGCACGGAGAGCAGAGAATCCTCCTCAGGAAGAGTGCTCGGGAGGGCGGAATCTCCAGGACTTGACAAGTGACGATGGGGGGAGGGTGGGTGAGTCACCTGGAGGTCTCGTTAAAGCACAGACTGTGGGACTCGAGATACAGTGGGTCTCATGGGGGTTCAAGAGTTTGTATTTCTAATAGTTCCCAGGTGATGTTACTGCTTCTGGTCCAGGGAACACATTTGGAGAACCAGTGGCCTAGAGTTAGTCCAGGTTCTAGCTGGGGTAGTTCCAGTCACCAAAACAGGGACTTCATTAGAAGATTGGGTGTTTCACAAATATCCGCAGAACAACAATAAGCTATGCAAAATAATCAATAAGCTAAACAAAAATGTCCAGGGAGGACAGTTTCAAGTCATATTAGCGTTTAATGAATTAACTTTTGGCAACACACTTTACTTTTTCTGTTTCTATATTCACCAAACTAAATTCTGATTTATTATCTAGTTTCCTAAGTGGACCTACCTACCAAGCCAAAGTGTGCAGATGACTAATCCTAGTTACTCTGCCAAAATTAACAAAGTGACATGTTACTCTAGAAATAGGTGCATTTGACAGGATTAATCCACAGCAGTCCCCCTTATCCATGGGGGATATGTTCCAAGACCCCCAGCGGATGCCTGAAACTGTGGATAGTACCAAATCCCACACGTTTTTCCTATATATACACACCGATGATAAAGTTTAATTTATAAGTAGGCACAGTAAGAGATTAACAACAATAATTTAGGATAAAATAGAACACTTAAACAATATACGGTAACAGAAGTTACCGTAGATCTTAGCAACCCCAGTAGACAATATCTTTTCCTTATTAAGTTGAGAACTTTCACCTTTTCACTTAAAGGAAGCACTTTCCGGCTTCTCTTTGGCATATCTGAGTTGCCAGCATCACTACTCTTGCGCTTTGGAGCCATTACTAAGTAAAATAAGGGGCACTTGAACACAAGCACTGCAATACCGGAACAGTCCATCTGATAACCAAGATGGCTACTAAGTGACTAACGGGCGGGCAGCGTGCACAGTGTGGATACCCTGGACAAAGGGATGACTCCCGTCCTAGGCAAGATGGAGCCAGATGCAGCAAGATTTCATCATGCTACTCAGAACAGCTCACAATTTAAAACTTATGAATTGTTTATTTCTGGAATTTTCCATTTAATATTTTCGGACTTCAGTTGACCATGGGTAACTGAAACTGCAGAAAGCAAAACCGCAGCTAAGAGCGGACTACTGTATTTCTTATTGGTTGTATCTGGGAAGCCACGAAATAGCTTCTAACTCTGCAAGGTTCATCGCCCCTAAATCTTCCCTGTGGGTATGGCTCTGGCGGCTACCACCAAGTCAAGCCATCCCAACGACAGCACCTACAGAGGAATAGCGTCGACAACCCCAACAATCAAGCCATCCCAATGACAGCACCTACAGAGGAACAGTGTCAACAACCCCAGCAATCAAGCCATCCCAACGACAACACCCACAGAGGAATAGCATCAACAACCCCAGCAATCCTGCAGCACCTTGGAACCAAATGAGAACCAAGGCCCAACACCTGGAATCCCATCACGTTTCAGGGCTCCCCAATCACACGGGCAGCACCTTGGCCACAGGACACTTAGTCTGTACAGTAAGATCAAGTAATCATTTGGCCTCTTGACTGAAAACAACTTTTATGTGTTTTTAGGACAGGGTGTACCTTGCCAGTCAATATCAATCTACTTAACTGACCTCCATAAATTAGCAAACAAATGAGTGTTTGTTTACATCGATGGTTAAAATTACCACCTGCCACTCAACCCTCCACTGAGCCTCCTCAAAGCCTGCTTCAAACTGAGACGCCAACTTCCTACAGAATGGACACAGCCTTTGCATAAGTCTATATTAACATACTCTGTGTTACTCTACATTTATAGGTGTGTGTGTTTCTGTATTATGTCAACCAACCAACAAAAATACTGGATTTCCTGGAAATGTCAAACTGAGACGTATAGATCAAATATTTCAAGACTCTATTCACCAAGCCCAAGGATCAGAAACAAGATCACAAATGAGAAATAAGACTATATTCACCTTCAGCATATTGTAAGAAAGTTCCAGAGTCAAAAGATAATGACCTCAGATGACAGACTGTTTATAACAAAAATATTCCAACATTGTCACTTACAGAATTTTGAGGATTTAGTTTCATTTTCATCCCTCGTATCATCTCAAAATCTTTTACAGTTCTGTAAAACAGGTTTATCATTAATTGCTAGGACAAAATTTTAATGATTACATTATAAAAAACCAGTTTGCTTATGCTACTTCCCAATATTCATGATAAAATCAGTAATTTGTAGTGCAAATATAAACCAGTATTAATCCAAATTCACATGTGTTAGAAGAGACAGCAGTATATACATCAGTCAGTTACTGCAATTTCTACCTTAAAAAGCACCTTGGCAGATACATCTCTTGAAAATACTACAGCTTGGAAAAATTAGCCACGTTACAGAAACACGCAAGGTGCTAATCCACAGACTTGAAATCACTACTCTTTCCCAACCCTCAAAAAGCTAAGAGACTAATGTACTACTTTCTAGAAAAGAATATTAACAAAGAGTATGTTTAACACTGCTATTCATAATTCTTCCCCTTCAGAAAAACTCTAGCTGGGTGATAATCAAATATATGCTTAATATTTGTAGACTATGAAGTTTCTGTTAGAATTAACTCCTATATATTACTGTAAAAATCTAAAGACATTTGCTCAAAATATAATCTATAGCTACAGACAAGTAAAGAAAGAATACTAACACTTAACTAACCAAGTAGAATAAATTCTCAAATATGCACAACTAACACTTCCTCTTTATTATATCAAAGCCACAGCGGTTCACTAGATTAAAAGAATATTCTAGAATTTATAAATATAATCCAAATTAGAGAGGACTGAGTTCTAAGGCATGAGTTTATATTAGAAAATGGAAATTTGAGCTAAAATTTAACACAATGTAGTGAAAAGGGCAAATGAAATTTTAGACGGCAGTGTAAGAAAGAAATAAGAGCGCAGCACCCTCTTAACAAAGCATGACGTGCCTCCTCCTGGAACCCCAGGGCTCGGAAGGCTCCTGGAGCACCGCCCTCAACGCAGCACTGCAGCGTCCGAGTGAGGACAGTGACACGACCCGAGAGACGGGCAGTGGGCAGAGGGAAGGAGGGACATAACACGGGGACTCGTTACCGAGAGGGAAGAGTCCAGCCTGAAATTACAAAGGCTGAAGCAGAGCCTTCTTAAAATCAAAAACACAGATCAATTTACCACATTTGCGAGCCGCCTATATTTAGGCCAAAAGAAGAGAAATACTACTTTATGAACTTGTTATAAAATTAATGGTACAAGGTAAAATATATAGGTTCAAAAAGGTTTGGAAAAATTTTTTAAATACACATCACCTCAAGCTAATTAACTGGTTAATCATGGGGGATGGCTTACGCTTTCAAGACCGTCATCTTAGGAAGACAAGTATGTGCTTTCAAAGTATACCTCGTAGTTAATTTATTCTCTTGCTAAATAGTCCAAAGATCTGACCCAATATTCCAACATTTATATTCTTAATAGCTCACTTCTTAGTAATTTATAAATCGTCTTTTTTTAAAAAAAACTAAATGACACATACTCTAAAGAGAATAATAAAAAACTAACCTTTCAGAAAGCTTGTCAGACAGTTTCTCAAGGAACTCCATGACAGTCTCTAAAAGTGAAATCCAAAAGAAAGTATCTTTAATTACATAAAATAAAATGAACATACCTATTAAGATTATAATGTGATGATCATAACCTGTACTCTATCATGCCCTTAAAGTGAAGATTTTCAAAGGGAAGCAGGGTTGCTAACATTAAGTAGGCATACAATGAATATTTCTAGATGATGATGATGATCTCTTTATCAGAAAAACAAGTTAAACTGACATAGTAATAATCCAAAGCCTTAGATTATATCCCAAAACGAAAAGAGTTAATGGGAAGCTAAAGAAAAGAATTCAAAATTTCATACTGTTTCTATCTATTCACATGTATAAGAGAAAAAAATAAGTTTCATAGACATGCCTAATTTTTTATGAGTTTTAGAAAGACAGCCAGACTCTCATTTGTTCATAAAAATCAGTACAATTCAGGGGCCGGCATGGTAGTGTAGAGGTTAAGTTCATGTGCTCCGCTTCAGCGGCCTAGTGTTCACAGGTTCGGATCCCGGGCACGGACCTACACACCACTCACCAAGCCATGCTGTGGTGGTGTCCCACACAGAATAGAGAGAAACTGGCACAGTTGTTAGCTCAGGGACAATCTTCCTCAAGCAAAAAGAGAAAGATTGGCAACAGATGTTAGCTCAGGGACAACCTTCCTCACTAAAAAAAAAAAAAATCAGTACAATTTACAAAGATGATTCACTGAAAATTCAATTTTAAAAAATTAGTGTTTTCCTGGGTAACTATTTTTATTCTTACATACAGCTGCAGAATAATCTATTCTGGATCAATACCAAAAGAAAACACAACAAAATTAAAACATTAAAACTTTAAGCTCTGTTAGAATTTTTTTAAGCACTTAAAATACTTCAGCCGTAAGTCACTATATTTTACAAACCCATAAAGGCAACTTAGTGGAATTACCATTATTTCCCATGATGGGAAATTTTTCATGTGTATTTTTAAATTTAGCACCTTTTGCCATTGATTTATGTATATAGAGCTAGCATAAGCACTTCAGAGTTTGCCACAAACACTGTTTTTATATTTTCCAGATGATCTTTTATATGGTTTTAAGTTTCTTGCCCTCTTCAATTTAAGTTATCTTCTTTCTGAGTAAAATAAAAGGCTGACAGAAGCCCAGAGGTTAACCTAAACCAAGAAACCACAGGGTTTCTTGCCACTGTCAACACTTACCAAGCCCTGTACACAGTCATCTTAAAAAAGCGCCTCGTGTTCATGTTCCATGTTACATGGTATTAGGAATTTCAGAAAAGAACTGTTATTTAGTTAAAAATGAGATCTTATTTTAGGATGTCATACCAGCTACCATAAAGAACTGTTTTCAAATAAATCTCTGTGTATGCTTTTTATTTCTAAATAACCATTTTTTACTAACTTTCACCCGTTTTGTTTTTCTAGTATCTTATAAATGAAAAATCTACCTCAGTTAATGTACCTGGAAAACTGTCATATTAAAAAGAATGAGCTTGAAACCCTCTGAAAGCAAATACACGCCTCACTGGAAAATCATTTCCTAATTCACCTGCGCCATGAATGCCCACCTTACCCATACCTTCATCTAGCCCCTTTCCTGCCTTCCTCCCTCTCCCTGCTGAAAGCTCACCATTCCTTCACTGTGCATCTCAAGTTTCTCTTCCCTCTTAAAACATTCAACAGCCACATAAGCATCTGATAAACTTCACCAACTCCTAAAATCCTATGGCATTGTTCTGTCTATACTATGCATTTGCACTGAGAAGACATCAACCTGTATTACTATTTATCTTACATGTATATACGTAAGCTCCCCAACTAAATTATAAACTCCTCAAAGACACAGGTCACATCCTACGTGTCTATGCACACAACAGTCTTACTCCAAAATCTCACCATACTAAGCAGTTAGTGAGCAATGGACTTGCTGAGAATGATATCCAGCATTAGCCACTGCAGGCCCAGTGACCTCCAGTGCACAGTGCTCAAGCCAGTGGTCAGCCCCCTGCAGGCCCGGTGACCTCCAGTGCACACTGCTCAAGCCAGTGGTTAATCCCCGGCAGGCCCCGTGACCTCCAGTGCACACTGCTCAAGCCAGTGGTTAATCCCCGGCAGGCCCCGTGACCTCCAGTGCACAGTGCTCAAGCCAGTGGTTAATCCCCGGCAGGCCCCGTGACCTCCAGTGCACAGTGCTCAAGCCAGTGGTCAGCCCCCTGCAGGCCCGGTGACCTCCAGTGCACACTGCTCAAGCCAGTGGTCAGCCCCCTGCAGGCCCGGTGACCTCCAGTGCACACTGCTCAAGCCAGTGGTCAGCCCCCTGCAGGCCCGGTGACCTCCAGTGCACACTGCTCAAGCCAGTGGTCAGTCCCCTGCAGGCCTGGTGACCTCTAGCGCATAGTGCTCAAGCCAATGGTCAATCCTCAACCTTCTTTATACTTCACCTGCCCTCAACTTTTGAGTTAGCTGATCACTCTCTTCTCCTTAAGACACTTTTTTCGCTCGGCTTCCAGGACCACACACTGTTCACTTTCCTCCCCTCTTAGTGGCTGCTCCTTCTTGGTGGCCTTTACTGAGTTTTCCTCATATCTCTAACCTCTTAAACTAGGAAGGTCCCAGAGCTCAGTCCTTGGACTTCTGTTCTTTAAATATACTCACTCGGTTGGCGATTTCACATAGTCTCATGACTTTAAATAAAGACCCAATTTATACTCCTGCTCAGAACCCTCTCCTCAATTCCACAGTTGTATATCTAACTGTCTACTCAACGTTGCCACCGAACACCAACTGGCCGCTCAAACTTAACTTGAACCCCACCAAGCTCCTGGTCCTCCCCATCTTAGCTAACAGTACCTCACTCTGTCTTTCCAGCTGTTCAGGTGGAAAACCTTGGCTCTCCCTTCAAAATGCTATACATCCAGAATCTGACCTCATCTTTCCACCACCACCAGCTTCGTCAAGCTGCCATCCTTCTCATGATTATTGCAAAATAGCTCCTAAATGGTCTCTCTTCCACCCTTGCCTCTCTGCAGTCTGTCTCAGTAACAGCAGTACATGATTTACCACTAAAACTTAAGTCAAACGATCACACTTCTCTGCTCAAACCCTCCCATGACTTCCCAGCTCACTGGAGGAAAGGCCCTACTTTAAAAAAAGAGTTTAACAGCTTCATGGAACAGGTGGGTTTTGAGCAGAGCACTGAAAAACTGGACAGGATTTTAAGAGACAGATTGGGAAGGGGGAGCTGTTCCCTATTCCGGGAACAACACGAGCGAAGGAACGAGTGTGATGGGCCCATGGCTCACCAGAGAGCCTGACAGGTCAAAGGAAACGGGCGTTTACAAAAGAGTGAGAAATAAGATAAGGCGGATTTAAGGAAACTTTGGAGAAGATACGAACATACTAGAGAGAGAAAGGATAAACATGGAAGGAATAAAGACAAGAGAGAACAAAGGATGTGATCTTCCTCTCCCACAGAGTTCATTTCCAGTGCTCCCCCATCTGTGAAAGGCATGTCTGCTCAGATGCACAACCAGAAACCAAGGGAATCCATCACTCCGGCTCCTCCTCAACACATCACCAAGTCTCATACCTGCAACCTCTAAAATGCATCCTGCATCTGCACAGCTCCACCATCACAGTCACCCTGCTGCTGACTCAGTGTCCAACTAGAGCTGTAACTTAATAAACGTCTTTGAAAAAACCTACTACGTGTGTTCATATTATTGTTACCGTATAACATTTTCTCCCATACATTATAAATCATAAAGAACTCAACAGAACACAAGGCGAGCTTATCACAAACCCAAGGAAAGATGCTTTCCCCCACGCAGCACAAACCTTCCCACGCAGTATGCTTCCCCCTGAAAAGGAGGCTTATAGAACTATGGGTTTTTATATGACCTAGCCTATCTTAACCTTTATTTCAGCAGAAATATTGATCTTTCATCCACTCTCACACTAATTCTAACCAATTTGGTTAGATTGAGCACAGAAACTAGTTGAGATAAAATGAAAGTAATTTAAATTAGCACCAATGAAAATTTAAGTATGACTTACTCTCAACATGCACATGAAATAAAATAATTTGGTTGGACAGAATATATTCCAAATTATTAGCTCAATTTAAAAATTGTTTCTATCTAAAGATATAGAAAATCTCCACAAATGGGTCTCTGACTATATTAAAAATAGAACAGTAATTTATAAAATTTAAAATCAGAAGTTCCATTCCATAAAAATCTTATTTTGCCCTTAAAAGTTGGATCAACAAGGGGCTGGTCCCATGACGTAGTGGTTGAGTTTGGCACATTCCACTGAAGGGGTTCATGAGTTCGGTACCTGAGTTTGGATCCTGGGCAAAGACCTACACCACTTGTCAGCCATGCCGTGGCAGCATGCTACATACAAAATAGAGAAAGACTGGCACAGCTCAGGAACAATCTTCCTCAAGCAAAAAGAGAAGATTGGCAACAGATGTTAGCTCAGCATCAATGTTCCTCACCAAGAAAAAAAAAAGTTGGCTCAACAAGCTTACCTGGATTTTTAGCTATGGTTCCTTGGAGAGCTCTGTGGGAATATGTGGAATACCCTACTAACTTTGCCAGAAGGTCTCTGCTGCTGAGCAGTTCTTCCAAACATTTCAACTGATCGGCATTCGGATAAAGAAAGATTTTATAAGCAGCTTCTCGCACCTATATTTAAAAAGTAAGTGGTGAAAGACATAAATACCATGATACAAAGTCCCAGGCAGTAATAATAGAGGCTGATTCTCACCACTTTAGTCTGCAGGTGACCACTGCCTTAGAAATAAAATGATGGTTCACGCAGGTGTATAAGGCTTTCAGATTCATAAACTACTATGGGATACAACAACATACTTGACTGGAGTTCTCTGTCGTGGGGTATGGTGGGACAAAATTTTACCCAATGCACGTGCCAGAAAGTACACAGGTGCCATGAAGCACCTCCACCTGGGGAAAGGGAAGACTGCGTGCAGGAATCTTCTGAGCAGTCTAGACTGTTGATCACTGCTGTTATTTATCACACTTTAAAAATGAGACGTGCATAACTGAACCATTTTCATCATTCAAAACATTTATGGCATTAAAAATCCCACAGTTAAATTTTCAGGGCTTAGTAACACTAAAATATTTTTAAAGGTATGATTATACTATCACTGAATTTGGGGTTAAAACAGTGGTGACACACAGATGGGACCTGGACTATTAGAGAATGGAATACACATACCAAGTCATCTGGTGCTTCTGCATGTAGACCGTCAATCATAACATGATCTCCGGTGAATACAAAGTTATGATGAATGTGTGCTGGTAAAAGATGCTTCTCAATCTTGGTAGGAAAGTTGGTTCCCATGAGAAATGTACTACTCAAATCCAAGATTTTAACATTCAAGTCCACTGCTCTTTTACGCTGTATGTTGAGGGAATAAAAGTTATTTAAAGGCATTTGAAGTAATATTTCACAACTAACTTAATAGACAATCTATAAAGACGGCAAATCAACATATATAGCCGAATTATAATTTAATAAGCTATTAAAAATATTAAATGAAATGAATATTAAAAATATTGATTATGTCATAAATGTATTATAATAATATACTATGATGTTAATTCTATTTTTGATAGATATTTAATATCCTAACAAAAAGATTATCCTTATGGTTTTATAGTGTTTCTACACTTTAAGATTTACATAAATTCTAGAGTTCTATTTTATGTCTAGGTTATATAACTTACAATGATCTTTTGAAATTAACAACATTAGGGGGGCCGGCCTGGTGGTGTAGTGGTTAAGCTCATGTGCTCCACTTAGGTGGCCCAGCATTCGCCGGTTTGGATCCTGGGCTCAGCCCTACTACTGCTTATCAAGCCATACTGTGATGACATCCCACATGGAAGAGGCAGAAGGACTTACAACTAGGATATAGAACTACATAGTGGGGCTTTGGGGAGAAAGACAAAGGAAGATTGACAACAAATGTTAGCTCAGGGTCAATCTTCCTCACCAAAAAACCCCCCACAAAATCTCTTCAAGTGAGTCAGAGAATAGTGGGCTAGTTGAATATAGTCAACATGATGCTTAGAAGTATTTTTAGACTAAAAAACATGAATTTGAAGGGCAGATGAGAAAATATACTGAGTCTTATCCAGGCCGCCCCAAGAAGGGGCAGAGCTTTGGACTCTGGGCGGGAGCGGGCCCTGAGGGGTGGATAGCTGAGCGCTGTCTGCGAGCAGGACTCCCGGGGGTGAGAGTAACCCCCTCACTTCTTGAAAGTGAATCTGGGCAGGGCATCCCAGCCCCCACCACAGCTAAAGAACTTCTAAGTTTGGGGGATTTATATTTTTAATAAATGATCCACCTGTGTTCAAGAATCGTTTATTTTTCAGAAGGCTAAACATCTAATACATACATATTACTCAAACTTACTAATTTTTACCTACTTAATTTGTTGAGCAGTGTTAAAGTATTCCAATAAAATTATGAATTGGCCAGAAAAAATCTATAGATATACATATACTTAGTCTTAAAAGATCAGACTAAAAGGGTAGAGGGAAAGGAAAGTAACTAAAACAATTCTTCCCAAGACTGCAGCGAACAACCCAAAGGGGGAACTATACAAGTTCTGATTTTGCGTGTACTTGAGTGGCTATAACACGCCGGCAGAGAGTGGGGAGAAGAACTGGACTGCAGCCCGCAACGGCAGGACCCCGTCTTCCCACTCTCCTGGCACCTGTCAGGCCCTCGGAGAGTCAGTGATGATGACGTGGGTGGTGCTGGCACATCCACGTGGGTTTTATCTTGCAGACATACCTTTAGGAGACAGCCTCCTGAGAAAACGTGTATTACCAAAGGAGGTGCCGCAAGTGTTCTGGATGAAACATAAACTATAGTCCACGTAATCAGGTCTACTGGAGGACAAGGGGTGAATTTTCAGTTACTTGGTACTAAAAAAGCAGACAGGCATCTGGACCTGGGTTCATGACGGGCTTCAGGGGAAATCATATGCAAATCTTTCTGGGAAGGCGGTCAGCTGCTATTAACAGGTTCTAAACTATACTATGACCCTAAAAAACAATTAAGCAGCACTAACATTTTTTAAAACATAAACATGTAAGATGCAAATGTACACTTGATAAGATGTTGAAGAAAATTAAGTATATATTAATAACCAAAAATGTTTCAATATAGAAAATTCAAACTTCACAAGAAAAATCCGTTTTCAGATACTCCAAAGTCTTCATGGTACAGAGTTCTCTTTGCCTATTTTGTTTCTGACATAGCCATTTATCACCACCTAATGGTAACCAGTGGAATAACAAAAAAGATGAAAGATATCTGGAAATTACACTATAGTTCCAAAAATTTTCCTGGAAGTCTATACTAGGAAAAAGAAGGGATAAAATTCATTATTTCAAAGAATTTTTCACCTGTTAAAATCTCTAGAAAATTTTAAACCGGGTTTACTTTGTGCCTGCACCAATCTGCCAGGCATGTCATTTCATTCATTCTGAGATAATTAAACATGCAGCACACTGAACTCCAAGAACTCTTATGGAATTGTTGTTATTTATAAAGGATTGCTTAAAACAACATACTTCCATCAATTTTAAACTTTTAAGTTATATTCATATGAGACCTTAAAAATAAGAAATAACCTGGCAAAAACACAGAAAAAATATTGGCCTTTACACTTGTAGATTACGTTAGCGGGTTTGTTTCAAGACTTCTGTTTTAAAAAGTATACTGTGTCTTCCTTTTATCCCATCCTAGAGGGGCACTGAGAACAGACAGAGGAGTTACAAGAGAGGAATGCACAGGTTTCCTTTGCTTGCATCTTCAATGCTCATGGGTCCTCAGGGAGTTACTTGCTGCAAAGAGAAGCTGTCCTTGTAAGAACATGCATTTAGATAAAAGCAACAAGGCTAATGCTGGTGAAACCGACCTTGACTTGACACATATTACTTTTTCGTAAAGTTTCAAAAACACCTTTCATGAAGATTATATAAAATAATAAAACTATTCACCTAGATTCTCTCTTAGCAACCTTTCTCCTAAGATATTAAACTTGAGGAATATTAGCTGGCATTATGATGATTAATCATACATTCATTCAATATTTAACTGAGTCCAAAACTGGAAAAAACATGAACCGCACTCTCTGTCCTTGAGAAGCCTATAATTTAGATAAGCAAGGCAATACTAACAACAACAACAACAACTTCAATAAAAGGCACTTAAAGATAAATGCCAGACGCATGCAGGAAGTAAAATGCGAGTTCAGATGAAGACAAAATTCCACCGGGGGATTGAGAAAGCTTCACCCAAAGGCAGCAATCAAATCAATGCTTGACGGAAATGACTCCAGCAGAAAATCCACAGGCAGGACTAGCGGCGCGGGCTCTGGAGTCTGGCATACGTAACAGCCTCCTCCACCTGCTAGTTCTGTGAGCTTGGGTAAATCACACAACCTCTAGGTGCTTCAGTTTCTTCACGTATAAAACAGGAATAACAGTATCATCAGCCTCAACGCTGTTATGAAGATCTAATGAGAAATATATGCTTTAAACAGCAAATGCTTAATTGCTGTTAACTATAATGAGTGTCAGGAAGACAAAGACCTATAGGACAGACCAGGTGTTTGGTGATAAGGATCAAGATGAGCTGTTCTGGGGATGCAGAGAGATGCAGGAGAAGCTCTACAGACCAATCCAAGGACTTGGCCACTAATTTAGATAATTTAGATACGAAAGTACTGGGAATGGAAAAAGTACAAACTGACTCCAAAATCTTATTTGGGTGGCTCAGAGAATAGTGGTATCATTGATATAGAGAAGTAATAACTTGCGTGGAGAGGGGCAAATGTGTCCATTTTAAGCAAGGTGAGCTTACACACAGTCTATCAGCCTCGTGGACTGCTGGGAAGGCACATCCAGGCTCAGGGTTAGGTCAGGAGTCTAATGCTGGGCCCTTAAGGCCACATAAGCACAGTGCCATGTGAGCAGCTCCAGCGTTACTCAAACCCAGCATCGATCCAAATGATATTATCTATTATATGTGACATATATCCCCAAGACCCTGCCCCTACTGTCCAAGATACTCTGATAAATTAATCTCTATTAATAGGTAACTGGCTTTATACTATACTTATTGGGAGAAACACATTTATCTAAATAAAAAAGGATAACCATAATAGTCAAGGCTGTAGCCAAGTAGGGGAGATACTGTGGAGCAGATCTTTCAATGGTGGTAGAGTCACCCCTGCTACTCCAACCTTGAGCTTAATATTGAAATGAGGCACTCAGTTTCTTAGGATGTCATGTTCTAGAAAGAACAGTGGCCAGAATTAGAAGTCCTGGAAACTAAGGATGGGAACTTGAACAAACCACTTTGTTTTATTTGCAGATCTGTAAAACAAGGGGTCTGGACAATGTATAACATCCCTTCCATCTCAGTTCAAACACTGTATAACCCATGCTCACTGCTTCCAGAACAAAACTGTGTGGCTCTGTCAAAGACGTACACTATGAACACACACACTTACGTCAAGGTCTTAATGACATTCCCTGCACTTCCGCTTCCAGACCTTCATTTTCAAGGGCATCAGCTTTCCTACTCCCTTGCCTATCTTTCCTGACACTGTCCCTCTCGTCCTAACTCCAGGACATCTAAAACACCCAACTGTCTCAAGTAATCTTAATTTCGAATTATCGTGGATAATAGGCCAACTTCTAGACAGCACTACATTCAGATACAACCTATGGAAGAATTTTATAATATAAACAATCCAAGAGTTTTTATAATATGCAAATCCAAGCAATATATAAGGACTGCAACCAACAGAGACACCAACTAAATATTAGCAAAATAAGAGGAGTCAAAACAGAGAGGAAAGATTTACCTTTTCTTTGTCTAGATGGATTCCACTGATTTCAAAATCAAACATAAACAGTTCGGCCACTCGCCTATAAATAAAATGAGCCCCAGGTTAAAACAGGTAATAATAATTGTTAACAAAAATTAGTTTTTTGTTAAATAAATTGGTCTTTTTCAAACTTACTGTCGAAAAGCCAGATGTTTACACACACACACACACACACACACACGCACAATGTGTTTGAAGCCAGGAGCTTAACATCTCAGCAGTGAAGCACAATACCCAGCTGGCTGACTGGGTTTTAAGCCCTCCTGTGGATGACGTGGGACCGTAACATCAGGCTAACTGTACAATAAGCCTTAAATTGAACCAAAAGAATGACAATTACTCCAATGAGGCCAAATTTACCTGCTGCTTTTTTCCAAAGGAGGTAAACATCTTTTCAACTGTGCAACTGCCTTTCCTTCAAAAAATATCTGCTGCATCCTATATGCAATGTACCAGAGAAGTACTCACGGGATACACACATGCTGCCTGGTTGCAACTAGGTAAGCCTGTACATGTATAACTATATTTTATATCTAGCATATTTATTTACATTATTTATTTATATTTAGCATATTTATATTTATATTTAACAGAACTACACTCTAAGCTGCTTGTGGGTAAAGACTTAAGTATGTTCTGTAAGGCACGGTCCCATAAGGGGATAAACACTTTTGGAATGAATGAATACAAAAGATATAAACAGGGGTACAAATAAAGTGTTTGGGGACTTCGAAGAAGACCACCAATAATAGCCTTCGCCATGTCAGCAGTATGTAAAACATCACCTTTTATTCCCGCTTTTATTCACTATAAAAAAGCAGGCTCTTTATCAGCTTCAGTTCACCATCCTCTTCCCCTTGCACTAAATTTGCTTAAGACTTGTGAGGGAAGATTCCTCACTATTTCAAGAATTAGTACTAGTATGCTTTGTAAAGATCAACATTTTTTAATGATCATAAAATGCTTCTGCAAACTTAACAGGACCTGATTTCCCTAATCTTTCTCAATGTAATAATTTCATTAGAACAATAAAAAAACAACCACAATGAAAGTATTCTGGATAACAGCTCTTCAAACACACTAGAGTAAAAAAACCTAGTCCAGGAGACAACAGTCTAATATCACTCATAAATAAGTATGACTGATAAATACTGGGGGATCAGGAAACAAGAGTCTATCTCACAGAGCTTATATTCGTATGACTAAAATGTAAGATATAACTGCATATCACTATTTATTGGCATAGGAAAATTGCTCAATAAATGGCAGCTAATTATTTGGTGGTAAGGAGAAGAAAGACTAGAAAGAAATAGGCCAATTAACCAAAATAACCCCTCCTCTCCTTCCCTACTACCACCATCCTAGTCCAGGTTGCTGTCACCCTGGCCCTGGTATCCTGGAGCCACCCCTAACGGGCCACCTTGCCTCCAGTCCTGTCCCGCTGCAGGAATGACCTTTCCCAACATTGTAAGTCCTTGGCATGATTCACGGGACATCTCATGAAAGGCCCTATCCCCCACGGTGAGGTCTCTGATTTCTGTTCTCCCCCACCAGACAAATCAGGGGTCTCTGTGACGAGCTCCAACAGCATTTGTGATTTTCACTTCACACTTAATTAAAACAGAAATATGTGTTGGTTGAACACAGAATTTTAAAGAAAGGTTGCATTGAAGACATATGGTACAAAGTGGTGTGGTCGGAGCCCTTCACTGTCCTGGGTTATAAATGCTTCATTGGATAAGTATAGTAAGTAATGAGGGAGCAAAGAATAGCTTCGACCGATGTTTAAGTAAGTCAATATATGTACTGCAGAACATGAAAACACTCATGATTAGCTTTTCATGTAGGAGCTTATTCCTTTATTCATAGAGTACAAACCTGTGAAAGCCACCATGATAATTATTTATTTCAATTCCACCCAAATCCCAATAATTAAAAACATGAAACAGTTTATACTTGGACAGTTTCTCAAAGGCCTTCTGCATGAGATTTTCAGTTTTTCTTCCAACTAGCAGCAGCTCTCCAGAACCGCAAATTCTCTGACGCTGTGCCGGAAGCTGTTTCTTGGCTGATGAGATTTGTTTTCTTTCTCTTTAATCCCGCTGCATGCTGGGAACCAGCCTGCAGTGTAACACCTCTTTCTGTCAATAACGTTTTTTTTTTAAAAACTACTTTTCTGCTGGAATTAAGTTATTCAAATGTTTGATCTACTCTCCTGTCTTACCTTGACTTTTCATAATGGATATGTTTATTTTCCTGGTTATCGTGCCAATATACCCTGAATGAACAGAATTAAAGTTCTTCTAAAATTCTGAAAACTCAATACACCACGTTAATAATTTAGTCATTTACCTTCTTTCCTAAATAATGTAAAGTGCTTCACTCAAGCCCCTGAACTGTCCCCATTATCTCTATGTCACATCGACCTCCCTTCCTGAAAAACACACCACTCTCTTTTCTAGCAAAGGTATTTTCTGTTTGTTTTAATAAGAGAAAAGAAAGATAGCAAGGGTTGATAAATTGGGGGTGGGAATTTATTGTATAAGTTTAATGTATTATATAATATAGGTTTACCATATAACAGCTTTACTGTAGAAATGTATGAAAAAATTAAAATCACTAATCCCAAAGATAACCATTATTAAAATTCTTAAATTTCCTTCCAATCTACTTCCTTTTTTTGAAGGCTATGAAAGGCACGTCTAACTAAATAGATATGGTTAGAGAAGTCAGCACAGTGCCCAGCATAGCAGGCACCTGGAAAATGTTTGCTGGGTTTCTGAACACAGATAAGGGGTACTAAATTGATTCCCTCACTCTTAAACATCCATTGTCCCAGGGGGCCAGGAGGGCTGGGGGGGACACCCAAAGGGACCCTTGTCCTGAGAAGCACAGGCTGAGGCAGCATCTTTGGTCTCATGAAAATACTGTCTTGGTGGCAATTAACTTGTGGCTAACACCAACAACAACAAAGACCTTCTCTTGGCTTCATCCAACCTACTCTCAATATGTTACACTACTCATTGAGAATAACTGGGATTCTACACAGACTCTAGTACCCTGCTTTTTCTTGTAAAATTATATCATGAATGTTGACCATTTCTCTATATCTTTAAATATTCTTCAAAAACATGGTTTTTAATGTTTACATTGTTTCATCATATGGACTCAAAATGTTTTCATTTTTCCCACTCCTGTAAACCATGCTACGATAAAAATCCTTATTACATACATCTTTGTATCCTGGTCTGTTTCCTTAGGATAAATTCTAAGAAATTAAATTGATCAAAAAGCATGCACAGTGAGTGCCAGCCTGATGGCCGAGTGGTTAGGTTTGCACACTCCACTTCAGTGGCCCAGGGTTTTGCTGGTTGGGATCCTAGGTGTGGAGATGCCACCACTCATCAGGCCATGCTGAGGCAGCGTCTCACAGGGCACAACCAGAAGAACCACAACTACAATATACAACTATGTACTGGGGGGCTTTCGGGAGAAGAAGAAAAATAAATAAAAATAAAAAATAGAGGCCAGCCTGGTGGCACAGCAGTTAAATTTGCACATTCCACTTCAGCAGCCCGGGGTTCGCCGGTTCGGATCCTGGGTGCAGACCTACACACTGCTTGTCAAGCCATGCTGTGACAGGTGTCCCACATAAAATAGAGGAAGACGGGCATGGATGTTAGCTCAGGGCCAGTCTTCCTCAGCAAAAAAGAGGAGGATTGGCAGCAGATGTTAGCTCAGGGCTAATCTTCCTCAAAAAAATAATAATAATAAAGTTAAAAAAAGAAAAAATAAAAAGATTGGTAACAGATGTCAGCTCAGGTGCCAATCTTTACAAAAAAAAAGAAGAAAAGTATGCACATTGATAATATACTACCAAATTGTCATCCAGAAAGATATGTCAGTTTACACTTAACTAGAGAGGACCCATCATCCCAAACCATTAAAACATTAATCTTACTGCATTTCAACCTTATTAGTTGATGGGTTCTTCGCTTTGTGCTATCTTTCTTTAATGGTGGTAGGTCCCATTTACTATATGCCAGATACCAAGAATGCATTTTACATGAATTGTTTCATTCAAACCTCATAATAATCCTATGAAGTACTTTTTTATTCTCCTCTTAGAGAGGTGAAAACTAAGGTGTGGAGAGCTACAGAGCCAATAACCAACCAACTCAGTGTAATTCCAGAGGCCCCATCTCCAGCCCCCCCTTCACGCTCATTACATTGTTATCAGCTTAATGGCCATCTGTTGCCATTCCATACTTTGTGAAATGAGAATTTCACAAGAGAATCCTTTACCCATTTTTCTATAAAGATTCACTTTTTTTCTCTTTTTAGTAATTTGCAAGGCCTCTTAACACAATAAATGTATTAATCCTTTATCATGTAAGTAACATTTGTCCCATTTGTGTATTCTGACTTTGACCGTGGAAAGGTTTTGGCATACCAAAGTTTGCAGTTTTTATATAATCAAATCAATCTTTTCTTTTGTGGTGTGACTTTAATGTTATGCTAAGAAAGACCTTCCAAATTCCAAGATTATTAGTACTTTTATAATTTCTTTTTTAAAAATATTTAAAGCTTTAATCAATCTACTTTTTTCCCAAAATAGCTGTCCACTGGCCTAACATTTTTTATTGAAAACCAAGACTTTGCTTATTGATATGACACTTCCACCACATACTAAACACAGTCATATATATTTGTGTCTGTGTCTGAAATTTCTCTATTCTTTCATTGATCTAATTGACTACTATAACTATAATGCACCTGTAAATACAATATTTTTATAGTATGTCTATCTAGTACAAGTCCCTCTTCAGGACTTTTCTTCCCAGATTTTTCCTGCCTACTTTGGCATATTTATTGTCTATGACTTCAAAATCATTTTAAGTAAGAAAAATATCTTTAGATATAGACTGATAACATTAAATTTACAGACCAGTACAGAACACTATTGAGCTTTCTTCTTTCTTATCTAAGGATACAGCATGTTTCTCTATTTAAATATCATCATCTTTCATGCGTCCCAGGTGTGTGTGTGTGCATCCTGAGGTTCCACAGTCTTTGCCTTGCTGAGTTTATTCCAACGTATATTACAGCTCTGTTGCTCTTGCGACTGGGACTTTCCTTTCATTATATTTTCTTTCTTTTTTTCTTTTTTTTTTTTTTTGAGAAAGATTAGCCCTGAGCTAACATTTGCTGCCAATCCTCCTCTTTTTGCTGAGGAAGACTGGCCCTGAGCTAACATCCGTGCCCATCTTCCTCTACTTTATATGTGGGATGCCTACCACAGCATGGTGTGCCAAGCGGTGCCATGTTCGCACCCGGGATCCAAACCTGCAAACCCTGGGCCGCCGAAGCGGAACGTGTGCACTTAACCACTACGCCACCGGGCCGGCCCTCATTATATTTTCTGAAGAATGTGTTTGCTCTTTGCATACAAGAAAGCTCTTGATGGTTTTCAAAAACACCACGTAAAACAGGTTTCTTTATGCCTGGGATTCTCAGAGACTCTAATATACTAAAATTCTCAAAGGAGAAAAATACTTAATATGTCAGACTTCCAAACTTACTGACCAATGGGATCTTTCTCAGAATACTTTTGAATAGTTCATAGAACTAGCATTGCAAAGAATGCATCTAAGAATAAAATGATTATCTACTCAATTTACATGATTTTTTCTCTACATTAACTTGTCTTGACAAGGTAATTCATTAACCCTATATTCTTTGTTCTAGCCATTGTCTTACGCGCTACCATGTGCAAGGTTCTTTCTGGATTCTAGCCAACATTCTTGATGGTGTACAAGTGCCATGAAATTTCAATCATCGTTACTTTCACATTCTTGTTTCCTCTCACTTCCAAGTTACCTTTCCTTTCTAGAATACTCATACTCGGGGCTGGCCCGGTGGTGCAGTGGTTAAGTGCACACATTCCGCTTCTCGGTGGCCAGGGGTTTGCCAGTTCAAATCCTGGGTGCGGACATGGCACCGCTTGCCACGCCATGCTGTGGTAGGAATCCCACATATAAAGTAGAGGAAGATGGGCACGGATGTTAGCTCAGGGCCAGTCTTCCTCAGCAAAAAGAGGAGGATTGGCAGTAGTTAGCTCAGGGCTAATCTTCCTCAAAAAAAAAAATAGAATACTGATACTCTATCTTATTTTTCCCAGTATATTTATCATTTTATTATTTTAAAAATCCCATTGGGATTTTTGGGAACATCTAGAAATGTGGTATGTATTCTATTAGCACAAGTCCCCTATACTTAAATGGTCTGCTAGTCCACTACAATTTTTACACATTAAATATGGAAAAGTCAACTTTTAGTAAAGTCAGATTATGAATAACCTGTTGTTGCTAGTCAAAGTCAGAACTAGCTGAGTACAAATCTGGCACAATTTTGGCAGGCATTCAACTTTTACTTGTTTTGCTAATGAAGGCAATATAAAGCTCAGGCCTAAAATTATAATAAAGGTGAACTATTCTGATGGTACAGCTAGCTTTACTAGTGTCCTAAGTGCCAGGATCAATGAAGTGAAATAAGACCGAACCAATATCTGCACATCAGGCAGTCACGTGAAAATCATCCCTCAAAAACAGCCTCACTGTGCTATTCAGATAGCATGGAACCCGTTTACCAGATTAACACAGCTGACCCACCGTCCACCCATCCCTGCAGCATAGAGCTTCACATGGGTCAAAGCCACAAATGGAGACAGAAAGGAGAGAAGAAAGCAGGAGGAGGCAGAATCAAGGAGCTAAAGGAAGTGAGTATCCCATAAATAAAAGTAGATAAACAAGTACAGACAGGTTAAAAAAGTATTAATCTCTGTGCTACGAGACAAATAATACACAGTCAAGTTAATGACAAATCCTACTATACTTATTTTATAAATAAATAAATTTGAGCAGGGGCTGGCTGGTGGCATGGTGGTGCAGTTTGCACACTCTGCTTCAGCAACCCGGGGTTCATGGGTTCAGATCCAGCGTGAACCAACGCACTGCTCATCAACCCATGCTGTGGCAGCACCCCTTATACAAAACAGAGGAAGACTGGCACAGATGTTAGCTCTTCCTCACCGAAAAAATAAAAATAAATAAATAAATAATTTGAGCAAAGAAATATGATATCCAAAATCCTACATCAAATATTTTCTGCGTATTGACTTAGGAATTAGGCCTTTTCAATTCAGATTAATAAATGTCATCTAATGAACCAAAGCAAATCACTTCAAGGATCTTGACATCCACCCAGTAAATACAACCAATTTGCTTACATCTTCTGGTGGTATAATCATGGAATTTTAAGCATGAAGCTAAGTGTAAATACCAACTGTTTATAGGACTTCATTCCTTGGTGAAGCACCTACCACAGGCCTTGAACTGTTGTAGGCGCTGAGCATGCAGCAGTGAATAAAACAGACCAAGTCCCTGCCCTCAAGGAGCTTCCCGTCTAGCGAGGTGGGGAGATGATAAACAAATTAACAAACAGGTCAGACAATGCTGGAAGGGATCAGGACCAAGAAGAAAAAGCAAGCAGGATAAGAGGAAGGAGTGTGACCTGGTACAAATATCATGGAGAAGCTACCATTTGAAGGCTGCAAGGGCGGAAACGCGGGCTGGGGGGTGGGCATGGTCTCCTGTTCGCACTCTACTGTCACAATCACAAGGAATGAAACAATTGAGTACCTGGTTTCTGGATCAAGCGAATCCATGAGCTTTTCATCAGCTAGTAATTTTTGCAAACTTTGATACAATTCCACATTTGTGTTCAACCTAGAAAAATTACAAATGATAAAAATTAAATGATTTTCTAATACTTTCTTTTTAACTTTACATCAAGAGAATGATGTCAAATTCTGACATACACAGGTCCAGAGGCCACTGGGACTAGGACTCGCATAACCCTACTTAGCATAGGGACAGCAGTCGGCTAGGCAAAGCGTCAAGGTACTAACTGTTCCGAAGGGTAAAAGGATACATTTAAAGCAAGAGTCTGCAGCTGGGGCCAGAAGAGCAGACAGGAAAGAGGGGAGGGGAGGGGAGGAACATAACTCATGATTTGACCCCACTGCCACTGCGAACCACTCCCCACCAGCAACATGCTAAAGGCCATTATTTTTTAATAAAGGAGAGGCATGAGAACGGGAGGGAGGATAAACAAACGTGGAGACTGTAGTCCTGAATGGAGTATGTACCCTAGACCCGGGGCTACCTCTGATCATCCGGGTGAGCGCAGGCCCACACTGTGAGGAGAGCTCAGGGACACAGGCTTTGGAGCCACGCCCCAGGCTGCGCCACCAGCCCTACTCCTCCTGTGACCTCGGGCAAGTTACAGAACTCCTTCAGCTTGTCAGACCTCAGGTCGTCCAAGGGTCAAACAAGATGATGTGTATACAGTGCGCACTCCCCACCTGAATGGACGGAGCTGCTGTTAGGTGGCCGTACCAGCCTGCCCCAGGCCCCCAACCTGAGTACTGCTCTCAGCCTAACTCGGGGCACCGCTTCGGGCCCTCAGTCCTTCTTCTCGGATGCCAAAAGCTCTGGCGCTCCCAGGGCTAAGCAGTGAGCTGCTTCTAGATGCAATCTGAGCCCCGTCTGGCGCATCCTCAGGGAAGGGCGCGGTTGTAAGAACCATTCACCAATTCCCACTCAGGGACTCAAGGATGGTCTGGTTCCCTGGTCAGCTCACAGTCAATAACCTGCAGTTTCATAGAAGGCGAAGGATTTCTGTTGCCGTGGTTCTCATGGGCCACCCCAAACACCAAGGGAACTGAGGCGGTCACCACCAACCAAAAAACTCTCAACAGGAAGGGCAGCAAAGTCACTGTGGGCGCTTCCTCCTCCGGGCCTGCTCACACCAGGAGCTACTCCACGAGGACGCCTACACTGCATCCTCTTCAGAAGTCTGAGCAAATCTCTCACATTGTTCTATGTTCTAAGACCCCAAGATAATGTCTATACTTTAAGTCTATATTCAGCATTAATTCTAAACAAACACATCTAATTTTAGGCTATTTTTCCACTACTGGAAAATAAATCAATTCTACACATGCACCTAAAAGATCACCTGAAGCAGTGAAGATATGGCTCAGTGAGACTAAAGGAGAAAATGAGTCACAGGGCTTCGTGAGAACCGAGAGCACAGCTCCAGTGACGCCCTGCCAGCGGCTTCCTGAGCCGACCTTCCTGTCCCAGGCAGGCCTCAGGGCAGCAGCAGCAGAGTGCCATGAAGAACAGAAGACTGAAGTGCTCTCCAGTGAAGCGAGGACCTTGCACAGACACTCTTGACAACACTTCACTGCCAATTATGGTTTCCCATTGTCTTCCCACAAAATTAAGAGCCCATGTCCTTTAGACCAGAAGCATATCTAAATGCGGGCACGACACAGCCTTCAGGGCGCCTCAGGCAGGTGACCCGGCAGCTCTGAGTCAGTTCCTGGGGCGAGCTCTCCCCAGGCAACGCTGTTTCTCCCAAGGAGTCTCCCAGTCTCAGCCCATCATCATGCCCCGTATCCAGACTGTGCAGGGACCAGTTTATCCTCTTCGACGAGGTGATTTTTCAATGGCGATAAGAAAAACCACATGCATGGTCCCAAAAAGAGCAAACGGTGCTCAGTGGGGTACAAGCAGCACAGCCTGAAGCGTCAGGTCCTCCGGGAAGCCTTGTCGGACTAGAGAAGCCACGCCCTCCTCCTCCAACCACTGGTTTGCGAGCTTCGGCCTCCAGCCATCCCACCAGACCCGAAGCCCACCCGCCAGGCCCGGCACTCTCACCTGCTCTGGATACACGCAGCGTGACCCACCCAAGCGCTTTGAACGCAGCGCTGTCCAAGTTATTAACAGGCGCGTTGGAGCTCTCATAAATGGCTTTAAATATTTAAATTCACTCAAAATCACTTTAAAATAACTCACTTCATCACAGTCTCTGCCCTCTCGGATAGTTTTATGATCTCCCTAGACCCCCCATCCCAATCCACAGGGCTGCAAGACCCCTGTGTACAGACGCTGGCTTCTTGCCCTTGGCCCACAGCTGTCAGTGCAACTGCAATTTAATCACACGATCAGCTGGAGTCTCCAACTTGCCACTGAGACACCAAGCAAGACACCCTTAGTTCTTGTAAGCAATAACCATGATGACAAGGATACTGGATGTCTGCTATACACCTGACACCATTATCAGCACTCAATATTTATTATTTCATTTTCCTGAAAACAATTCTAAGAGGCAAATCATCTTATTACTCCACTTACAGACAAGGAAACTACGCGACAGAATAGATAAACAGCTAGCCCAGTCATACTGCAAGTGCAGGAAGCAGCGCGCGGAGCGCGCGGTGGCCGCCCAGGCCTCGCCAACCCACCCCCCAGCCTGGGTAGCAGTGGCTGCAGCACACACGGGGCCCCAGCCTGCGGGGCGGGACAGCACGAGCCTCCAGACACACTTCCTAGAGCACAAACGCAGGAAACGTGTCACCCAACGCCGTAACGAAGGGGGAACGAAACATACTTCTCCACCACGGTGCCAATGCTTCTACAAGCTTCTTCCGCCGCCTCTCTGAATGCTGGCTCAGGATGAGCAATTTTCACAAAATCAGCCTAAGAGGAAAGACAAAACCAAGAGGGAATTTGATGGAAAGCTTTCTTCCAGGATCTGAGGGCAAAAATAAAAACCTGTGTTTTAAAATGTGCCATCTGGCTTGACCGATGCGTTTCCATTACTGACATTTTCCTAAACTAGCAGGGCAAAGCGCTTCTTTCTGAACACTTATTAATTCTGTTAATCCTTGGAACCACGTTTGTTTCATTCCAGAGAAAACACTTTCACTAACCTTTAGAAAAGTTTTTCTCCTTCAAACAGCAACACCAAATGAATTCTTCCTAATTCTGTAGTTCTTTTAAAAAGCAGGCTCTTGCTTCAAATATTCTAAAACATTCTATCTTAAAAGTGCTCGCAACATGGTTCTCACGTTAGCCTGGCTCCAGAGAACTCCTAGAGGCTTTTCCTTTTTTAAAAATAGACACATATTATAGTTGCAAGACTAATTTAACTACATTCTAGCCCTCCTGCAGAAAACAACGGCACGTTCTCTCTGCAGCTCTTTGAGTAAACATGGATTCCCAGTCCCAGCCTAGACGGCACCCAGGTACCACCGCTACACCGGCCTTAGAATTGAACTGAGCCAGAATTCTTTTTTAAAAAAAATTAAATCATGTAAAACTAGATTTTAGTTTTCATGTTAATTGAAGCAAATTGCAAAAGAAAAAGGCAGGGAAACTAGAAAATACTATGTATTTTCTTCATTCTCTAAGAAGACAACATATGTGACTGCAACATGAAATAAAACCACCCAAGGTAAAATTTCCTAATTTTATTATCAAATAGTTTTTAATGTAAAAACATTTAAATCCATAGTGTGATACAATATGTGATGCAACAATAAAATACCATTAGTACTAAAGCATCTGAAAATGAGCTATAGGAAATTACAACAAATTCTATAAATTATTAATCTACATATTATAGGAAGTACAATAGTAAATTCAAAACCCCAGCCTACATTTTAAAACTCATTTGTCATAGTGATGAGGAAAACAATACTGTTACACAGCAACTGTATTAAAAAACCAGGGCCGGCCTGTGGCCGAGTGGTTGAGCTTGCCCACTCTGCTTCAGCGTCCCAGGGTTTCGCTGGTTTGGATCCTGGGCGCGGACATGGCACCGCTCATCAGGCCACGCTGAGTTGGTGTCCCACACGCCACAACTAGAAGGACCCACGACTAAAATATACAAACTATGTACTGGGGGGATTTGGGGAGAAAAAAGCAGAAAAGAAAAAAAAAGTTTGGCAATAGTTGTTAGCTCAGGTGCCAATCTTTAAAAAAAGGAAAAAACAAAATGACCACTTGGTGGGAAATACAGTTTATAAAACCAATGCTTTATAATAGTATTGATCATACTGGCAAATAAAATCTTAAAAGTTGAAAAAGGAAGAAGGTTCTTTGGATTTTTTTATCCAAAGACTTACCTACATAAATCACATTATAATTTTTTAATGATATTATTATACTTCATAAATATGAAAAACTTCAAAAATAGGACAGGCTGTGGGGCAGAGAAGTTAAAATCTTTTAGTGAAGAGCAAAAGCAAAACGTGGAAAATATCCTAAAATACTGCTTAATTAAGATGAAGGCTAAGACAACAGACAGTGAGGTCTGCGGTTTTTGACTGAAAAAGCCAACACTGGATCACACATAAATGAAACTCACTGACAAACACTTTCCTTTTCAGATTTCAGCGACACAATTAAGTGGAGAAGGTGTGAGACCTCCTTTGTGGCAGTACGTCTCCCGTATCTCCTCCATCATTCAAAGCATCTGCTACCCACCTACTGGAGGGACAGAATCAAGACCCAAAAAACCGAGAACTGACTCCAAGGAGCCCAAAACACATCTCACTTCACTCCTGGGAACAAACTTTTAAGATAAGACACTTTCTCAATTTCCTTAAAACTGAGAAGCTTATACTGACTGGAAGATGATCTGAAAGGTATTACTCCCCAATTCACATGCACAGGAGGAAGGAAACTTCCTGAAAAAAGGAAAAAGCAAAGATGTGGAGGTGTTATGGCTGGGTAAAAGGAAGTCAGTCTCAAAAGGTAAATATGATTTCATTTCTCTGACATTTTAGAAAAGACAAACTACAGGGATGGAGAACAGAGGGGTAAGGTGCCAGAGGTAAGAGGTGAGGGGTGAGTGTGGCTGTAAGGAGAACTCGTTTGGGGTGATGGAACAGTTATGCACCCTGACTGTGGTGGGGGGGCTACATGAGTATATGAGTTAAAATTCACAGAACCATACCACCCCCTAAAAGAAGTAAATTTTACTGTATGATAATTTTAAAAATAAACTCTTTTTTAAAAGATGGGGAGGCTAACCAACTTGCCACCCTCTCGAGGCAAAGAAGACCTGCTCATCTGACCAGAGCAGCCAGCCAGCCCCTGGAAGGGTACAGAAGAGCAGGTAAGAGCATGAGTTCTGCAGCCACACTGCCTGGACTCAAAGCCCAGCTCCACCACTTACTGGCTAGGTGACCTTGGGCACGCCACTTCACCTCTTAGTGCCTTTCTTTCCTCGTCTGAAAGTGGAGACATGCTGAGAAAGTTAAATCACTTACTCCAGGTAAGGCTCTTACCAGGGACCTGGGCCCGGTAAGATCTAAAAAACGTCAACACCGGAACGTAAGCGCCATGAAGTCAGAGACTGTGTCTTATTCAAGACTGCATTCCCAGTGGCTAGAACAGTGCCCGGCACATGGTGGGGCCTCAATATTGAATGAATCTAGGAAAAAAAGCTATATTAGCCCAATACCCAGTAGACAGGCTCACAAGCTATTGCAATCTTGGACTATGTGCACCACTAAAATCGCCTTCATGATGCAACTAATCGAGATGTGGGTTTCTCAGTCGGTGAAGAGACCCAGGTGCACTTCTATTGCAACTTTAAAATGGGGAGAAAAGGAAGCCTTTAATACAATTAGTTTGATGTCAAAACCTTATTTTTAATTAGAAAAGACATTCCTGAAAAGGTTTAGAAAAACCAGTTTTTCATAAGATTAATTTTATTGTAAAATTACAGATAAATGATCTATTAGAATTTTGGTAGAAGTTTTCATAAAAGAAGAATCCTTGTCAAATAAAGAATCTTTGCCATACAAGCAATCATTCTTTTATTATATATTACATGTATATTTTATTAAATGTACATATTAAATATAACCTTTTCCTTTACGTTTTTTCCATTTCTAATGACATACTGCACTATATAACAAATTACACCCAACAGCTCTCAAATAGTTCACGTTTTTAAGACTTTACAGTCTAATATTAAACCTAACCAACTCAGTGTACATTGCAATAGTCTGAAGGAGAGAGACAGCTTCAAGTCTTACAGCAAGCGTCTTACCAAGTCAGCCACCCGGCACAAGGAGTCGGAGAGCTCGTCAAAGATGAGCACGGTCTGCGGCCCGGGGGGCGTGCAGCGCGCACGCTCCACGAGCAAGTCCGTCTTTCTCAAGGCATTTTCTTGGGCAATACGAAATCCTTCTGGGGAACTGAGCTCGGGAACTCCAAAAAGACCCTGAAATCCAAAGAATAGTTCCAATTTGTAACTAAAAATATGATTTTTTGGTAGTAAGTATACTTTTTTCATAAAGGAAATCTTGGTTCTCATTGGTATATCATATAATTACACCACCTGCGATCACAGATAACACTTTGACATTCCCTACAAAATTCCACATAAATTAGACTAAAAATGTTTTAAAAACGTAATTTTTCTTCAATTTTTAATTAGTTTATAATAAACAGAAACAGAACGACACAGGTTCAAAATCCAGCTGTGTGACTAGTACAGAATCTAACTCATAAAGTGGTTACAAGGTTTAAATGAGATAACACGTGTTAAAAAACCATTTTAACAGTGCCTGGTACCCAAAAGCCTTTAACAGATGTTAGCTGTAATCCTTATTAGCTGTGGAAGCTTGGCCGAGTCCTCTCCCCTCCTAGGCCTAATTTTTCATCAGGCACAATGGGGACGGCCATATGTACCTCACAGCATGGGCACAGGTACTAGGTTAGAAAGCGTGTGTGAAGTCCTTAGGACACTGAGGGGTATCAAGTCAGGTCCAGTACACAGTACCAATTATCCCACAATTATAAAACAGGGAGGATGAGTTGATTATTGAGCACACAGATATTCTAGAAAGATTTAAAAAATATGTTGAACCAAGTCACAGGCTGAAACTGGCAGCAAATTTTATACTTTCCAAAAGCATTTGAATATCTTGATAAAGACAAAAATCACTACTCTGTTGAGAATAACCTTCTTCTTGTACCAGTTCAATCACACTTGTTATTGCACTCAGAAAGGAAGAAAACCCCCAAACATTTATCTTGCACCTACTGCACACGAATCAGCGTACTATATACTTTAGACAGGCTCTCTCGTTTAAATTACACAATCCTAGAAAAGGAATGATCACTCTCCTTTTACAAGTGAGGAAACACTCTTGAAGATGTTAAAAAAAATGTTCCAGGGGCCGGCCTGGTGGCATAGTGGTGAAGTTCGTCCACTCTGCTTCAGCAGTCCGGGGTTCATGGGTTTGAATCCCAGGCACGGGCCTACACACCACTCATCAGGCCATGGTGTGGCAGCGTCCCATGTGCAAAATGGAGGAAGACTGGCACAGATGTTAGTTCAGGCCTGATGTTCCTCACCAAAAAAATAAAACATCTGAGGTCATTAATTGCGGGAAAGAGAGAACTTGAACCTGCTCCATCTATCTCTAAAGCCCCCACTCTTTCCAGACTTCTGTACTGCAATTTATCTGTTTGGAAGTCTTCTCTTCTGAGAAGGTGAGCTCCTAGAGGTAGGAGCCCTGCACTTCATCTAACCAGCTGCCCAACAGTGCCTAACACGCTGAGGAACTCAGGAATGAAAGAAAGCAATGGACCGGATGCTTAACTTTGTAGATTAACTTTGTAGTTGCTGAACATGTTGATTTGGGAAATACCAAGAGGTAAAACTTTCAGGCCTGATAAGGCCTACTGCTTCTGCAAGAAGGGATGCAAGAAGTTTACTTTTTTTTTAAGATTTTTTTATTTTTTTCCTTTTTCTCCGCAAAGCCCCCCAGTACATCGTTGTATATTTTCAGTTGTGGGTCCTTCTAGTTGTAGCATGTGGGACACCACCATCAGCATGGCTTGTTGAGCAGTGCCATGTCCGTGCCCAGGATCTGAACCGGCGAAACCCTGGGCCACGAAAGCGGAGCACACAAACTTAACCACTTGGCCACGGGGCCAGCCCCTGTTAAATTCTTCTTAAAATATATTAAGAAGTTGAAGAAAATAAAGACAATTGGGGAAACAGTAGAACGGGGACCAAAAATAAATTTGATCTTTACAGTGATTTAACTTGATTCAAGTACACTGTTAATTTTCACTGCCCAGCACACCTCCCCACACGACTCCTGGGAATTCTAAACCTCAGGCTACCAGTTAAGGTAATGCTAAAAAACTACATAAACCTTTGGGGGGGAGTTTTCTTTGTTTTAGTCAAAAAACAATGCACATATTGGAAAATCTGATATCGGTACATAAAATCATGATGTACAAAAGAAAAATTAATAAAGCTAAAATTAGTTATAATTCATCCACCCAAAACCGAGCTTACTCTGTCTTTCTGCTCAGTACCTACAGGCTGTTCTTCTCATCCTCAAACCAACTACATTAATACCAACATTATTTACCCGTGTGGAAGTTGGTGTAGCAAATTTCATACAAAAATAATTTTAAAACACAAAATGGTAATGACAGGGATAAAATAAGAAAACACATCATTAGGCTAACTGTAACCATATCCTAGACTCCTCTTTATAAGAAAGACAATGGCAGAAATAATGAAGAAATTAAAAAGGCAAAAATAAAAGCAACAACCTAAAGCGGACAAAATTCACAAATGCATAATAGAACAGGCAGCAGGTAAGTCCCCTTCAAGTTTGCCTTCCTTTCACCTTTAATTCCGTCATTCAATAAATATTACTAAATGCCAGACACCATGCTGGGCGTGTGGATATAACAATAAACAGGAACCAAGGAATTCAGTGAGTGACTTCTTGGGGGAAGAAGTCACCGTGATAGACTCCATCGCACTGTATAGGAAATTAGACTGCTCTCAACAGCTCTGAGTTTTAGAAGAAAACAAAGAAAGCCCAAAGCTCTGGAAAAATTAATGGGATTTCGGGCATCAATGGAACTAATTACAAGACTGAAGGAAAGTGTGTCCTTGGAAAAAGACACTTGAAACCGCGTGTGAACTCACAGGGCGAGGCCTCACATTGCACAATTGGAGCAAAACTGAACTTCGGCGGGGATTGGGCTGAGCGTGAGGAGAGGGCGGGACCAGCAGGGGGAATCCACTGCCACCGCCAAGATGAACTACTTTAAGTTCTGTGGAGCAAGGGGCTCACGCTGAAGCGGGTCATGGGACCTACATTCTGGGGACAGGACCACTAAAGGCCCCTTCGCCCGCTTTAAAACAACCCCTCAAAGAGATCAAGGTCACCAAGACAGCAAACGACACCCTACTGTACCAAGTGGGTTCGCTGCCTGGCTCCTCCCAGACCCAAACGACCTTGCCCGCATCCCCGCTAGCCACATGGAGAAGGGCCAGCTGATCTCTGGGGGCCAGGGGGTGCCCCCTCTCGCGCCGCTCACCCGGCGCTCGCCGAAGAGATCCAGGCGGCGGCCCTGGGGCTTGACATTGAAGGCGGCGCCCACCGGGGACCAGCTGGTGCTGACCCCCCGGGCCCGAATCCCGGCTCCGAGGCCGCCCAGGCCCGCTCGCCCCGGCCGCAGAGGCGCTGCCCGGGCGCGGAGGCCGCCCAGCCCTCGGGCGCACAGCATCGCGGTCCGGAGCAGCCCCTTCCCCCTGCACGAGGCCCGGCCCCGCACGGCCGCTCCGCCGGGGAGCACGCTCGCCGCGTTTCCAAGGCAGCGGCGCACGCCGCGCCACGTGACGCCCGCGCTTCCGGGTCGGCGCTACGGGTCCTCAGGACGTGGGCACGTCGGCGCCCCGAGAGCAAGAGCGGAGCCCCGCCGCCTTCTCGGCCGCCACTGCGGAGTCGCGCCCCCGTGTGCCTGGAGTCAGGAACGACCGAGGCTCGCCCTTGCCGGCCCCTTGACCGCGCGGGCGGGCGGGCGGAAGCCCCTTGAGGGCCGAGCTCTCTCGGAGTGGCGCTGATGCTCCGGAGAAGGCGGCTGGCGGGCCCGCCGAGCGGCCGGCGCCCTCGGCCTGCCCTCCAGGAGATGGGCGAGGTCAGATGCACGGTGCCCGCCCAGAGCTCCGGCTGCGGGACCCGGGGGGCGGGGGCGCTGCGCCCCGGGAACGCCCTGCAGCAGGGCCGGCCCGCCCCGATGCCGGAGCTGCGGCTGGTGCGGCGGGACAGGAGCTCAGTGGACCTCCTTATTCCACGGCGAACCGCAGGCCGTGTCCTTAATGCCCGTTTCAGCGTTGCTTGTTGGGTTCGAGCAGTGCTGAGAGTCTTGAAAGCTCCAGAGAACCAGACGCGAAGGCCGAGTGGTCGTGCTGCCTATAGATACCTGCTAACCTCACGCCTCCCCCGCCAAACGATGTAGCTTTAAATGGAGTTTGTTTTCAGTTTAGCCTAGTAGGGAGAAAAAGCCCACATGATAATGATAAGTAACAATTAAAATTTAGTTAAGACATGTACCATTGTGTACCTATACAATTCTTTATAACTTAACTATAAATTCTATATTTCATTGTGTATATGTGGTAAGTTGTGATTTCATTTTCGACTGATTTTTTAATCAGAGATTTAAAATTATTTAAAATCTCCGAATTTCTAACTCCATGTTGATTAATATCGCATTTTCTGTAACCAGTTGCTTCTTAGGGCAGCCACGCCACATTGCTGACCGAATGCTTGTATAGCAGGTCCTTACAAAGATGTCAAATGTGTCATGTAAAAAAGAAAATTCATCAATATATTTGACAAAAGTGCTTATTTTATCATATTTTTTAAAAAAGAGTTCCAAACCTGAGAGCCTTTCTTTAGCCCAGAATGGTTTTTATACCAGGACACCTAACCATTTTTAATGCAAGCATTTAACCCTTAAAACGTCCTCAGGGGATGATGACTTGTGCTAAATTAGAGAGCCTGGCAGAGTTAGACTTTTAAAGACTGCAGTCCAGGTGCACAGACAACTAATGAAAAAGAACCCCCAACGGCAGATGGGACACCTCTCCCCCACCACCACCGGGCAACTGTCTCTTTCTAAAGTCCTTTAAAACATGTTTTACATCTCATCTATATTTGCCCTGCAAAAAAAAAAAAAAAAATTATAAGAGCTTATCCTGTGTCCTGGGCATGAGTTACATTGTTTCCTTTATTCCTATCTCAGCCTATACAGTTGTGTTCCTAAATAGAAGGGAGTTAGCACAGGCATTGCCTCTATTCAAAGAAAACCAGACTTTACACTGGGGAAAATAGCTTGCATTATTACAATTCAAAGAAGCCAAAAGATAAGAACTCTGGCTCAGTAAATGAAATGATCAGTCACTCTGTCGCTGAGCAGAAGGGCAGCAAGGCAAGTGCAGGACCTGGGGTGCAAAACGGAAGGAGGCGCTCCCTCTCGGGTCAAGTGCATGAGTGTGAGCACCTGAGTGAGTGCCTCCTTAGACTGTGCGCCCTGGGTGCCTCACCTGCTTCACCCTAGTCCTGGCTCTGCTCTAGAAGGAGCATAAGTTAAGGAAGGCCGATAAGATACCTGTAAGCAGAAATTATTTCTGTCTGTTTCCAAAATTTTCCGTAACTACCAAGTACTTGTAAATATTTCACCTACTGCAGTGACCTGCATATAATGACAATTCTGAAAAACCCCATATTCCCAGGGAATGAAGATATCATTACAAGCGAGTTCACTCGGTTGGAGTGTGGATAGAATGGCTCTAAGTCCCAATTTCAAGTGGCACATCCTGTCAGATAGCACCTCCCAGGCTCTGGTTTGGAAAATGCTGTAGCTCGAATGTGTGCTGAGCTTGTGTCCTTTTCCTTCTTTATTAGTTGCTCTTAACTAAGAGAAAAGTGTATCAAGTTAACTTAGCCTCATGTAATACTTCCAGAATGTTAGAGTAGGGTTAGGACCATATGAAATTATTCAGTTCAACCACTATCGTGGAACAGGAGGCTGGGGCACAGAAAGGCTAAATAACGCCCCCAATTCAGATTCCTTCGTTGAGGCAGGAACAACAATCCATACATCTCAATTCTTAGTCTCGGGCTTTTTCCACTATAATCCTGCTGCCCTTCCCTTTGGACATAGATCACTTAAGATTCTTTTAGACAAAAGCAGTAGTGACAACAACAAAACCTGCATTAGACTGGTTTAAGCAAACAGAATTTGTTGGCTCACACAACAAAATGGCCCAGGGGTATGCCTGCCTTCAGGCATAGCTGGATTTAGGGGCCTAATCAGTGTCTCCAGGACTGGTTATCTCCAGCTGGCTGGCTTTGTTTTCAGGCTCTAGAGATCAGCAAGATAGCTGCCAGCTGAAGTTCTAATTTCACCAGAAAAAGATGTTGCCTTTTTTGTTTCCACCGGCCTTCCAAAGTTGCAGGTTGCATCTCGTTGGCTCTGATTGGATCAGTACCGTCTTGGAAATAGCCGTGTCCAGAAGATGCTGTCGTTCTGATCAGCCAAGCCTGAATCCCGTGTTCACCCCACAGGGTGGGGTCTATACCATTTGAAAGACTCGGCTTGGGAGCGGACATGAGGATACTTTTACCAGAAAAAAGGGAAGTGGGTGGCACCTGTCTGAACAAGAAGTGTCCGCTATGGCCTGAGGGTAAGTTTCCCTTTTCCCTATTCTCTTCATAACTTCATCCCCATCCTCCGCTTCCAACTGTAACTCTGGTGTCTGTCCAGTTTTCTTTTTCTTTTGCATAGCTCATTTAGAACTTTCGTAAGGTAAACAGTGAAGGAAACCTAACAGAATTTGCCCTGCTGGGTTTCAGACTTGTTTGGGCCCCGTGGTCCCTTTTTGTTCTCCCTACTTCTCCCTTTTGGAATGGAACTGCCAATCCTATGCTTTCCCACCACTGTATTTTGGAAGCAGATAGCTTGCTGTCTGGTTTCTCGGATTCACAGATGGAGAAGAATTTGGCCCCAGGATGAGTCACACAATAGCTGTTATCTATAACAAACTTAAATGGTTGAGATGATGAAACTGGGGACTTTGAGTAGATGATGTTTAGATGAGATTTTTAGAGTTGGAGTTGGTGCTGAAATTGTTAAGACTTGAGGATGTTGGGATGGGGTGAATGTATTCTGCATGTGAAAGGACATGAATTTGGGACGTACCAGAGAGCAGACTGTTATGGGTTGAATTGTGTCTCCCAAAAAGATACACTGAAGTGCTAACCCTTGCTATCTTTGAATGTGACTTTATTTGGAAATAGAGTGTTTGCAGATATAATTAGGTTAAGATGAGGTCGTATTGGAGTAGAGTGGGCCCTGATCCAATGTGACCGGTGTCTTTATAAGAAGAGGGAAATTTGCACACAGATAGACACAGAAGGAAGTCAGCCATGTGAAGATGGAGGTGGAGCAAGGAGTGATGCTTCCACAAGCCGAGGAACGCCTAGGACTACCAGAAGCTGGAAGCAGCAAGGGAGCATCCTTCCTTAGAGGCTTCGGAGGACGCCTGGCCTGCTGACACCTTGATTGTGGACTTCTAGCCTCCAGAACTGTGAGAGAATAAATTTCTGTTGTTTTAAGCTCCCCAGGTTGTGGTACTTTTTTATGGCAATCCTAGGAAACTAAGACAGATTCAAGTCTGGCAAACAGTTTACTAATCGACTCTTTGTTGAATTGAATGGTGATTAAAACCTAAGTTAGAAAATGAGCAGTGTTCTGGGACGTCTCATTGTCACCAGCTGAATCCTCTTATTAGTCACTAAATGAAATAAACAGTTTCCTTTTTGTTCTCCCTAATGTCTTCAGAAATTCAGATGAGAGAGAAATCATAATATGGCTCCTTCGAGCACTAGAATGATAGCAGAACATTCTTTTCACAGGAAAGGCACATGCAAAGGACTCTTCAGATAATGGGAATGATAAAAAAATATTAAATAAATTATAATAAGCAATGTAAGTATTTTAAAATTTACTCTTGGAAAGACAGTAAGTTACATAGAATCAGTTTTAGGAATAACTTTCCTACTTTCAGCTTTTTATGATTATTACAATAATGAGAGTAGTTAATATAGTAAAATCATCTAATCACGTCTTCACCCAGCTCATTCTGATGGATGGTGAGGCAGCTTTGCAAACGCTTCTCTGTCATGAGCTGCTGAACAAAAGGAAGCCTGTGAAAGTTGTATCATCATCCTCGTCTGCAAACAAGCCATTGAACCTCTCCCCTCCTGTCACCTGCACCCACACCTCGTCCCCAAGCTTCAGCTGCAGGATGGTGCCACCCGAGGCCTGGTCCTCAGAGCTCGTGTACCCATCCTTGGTGTGCAATATTTTTACTCCATTTTTGACCAAAGATACCTGAACGTTCCTGGAGAAAACAGTGACGTGGTAGGTGAAGTAATAGACCCCGGCAAGGTGGCAAGTGAATTTCCCCGTGGCTATGTCAAAATGGTTGAATTCGTTATACAGGATCTTGTCAAATTTAATGGGTACATCTGAAGAAGGAAACTTGCTCAGCACTGTGAGCCCCACAGTGAAAGCACTTTTTGGCAAGACTGGAGTCTCACCAATTTTCCCTTTTTCTCCTCGATCCCCCTTCCAGCCTCTCATTCCCCGGACTCCTGGCTCACCCTGGGGCCCCAAGGGTCCAGCATCTCCCTTGGGACCAGGCTTTCCAATGGGGCCTATGGGGCCAGGGAGGCCGGGTGGGCCTGACAGTCCTGTGTTGCCCTTGAGCCCTTCTGGACCAGTGGGACCCACATCACCTTTATCCCCCTTTT